CGCCCTGCGATGGGAGGGGCCCATCAGTAAAGCCAGTCCCACAGCTGCCACCAGCAGTTTTTAAATGCTAAGTTGATCCTGTAACCCTCCCACTTAAAACGCTTTCCACTGCTCACACGGTGGGAGCCAGAAGCCCCCAGGCGCCCCCAGCCTTCCAGGAGCAACCCCTGCCACTACTCCCCCCCAGTCCCCCCCAGTAATCACTGTTTCTCCCGCGGGAGTCCAGGCCGACTGAAGGAAGAGGCTGCGGACAAACGGGGCACCGAGGCCTGGCAGGCACCACTCAGCTGTTGCCTCCAGGTTAGGGGCCACGTCTGTCTCACTGCTGAGTCCGCCATGCCCAGTCCAGTGCCTGGTGAGACTCTGGGTGGCTGCAGAACAGAGAACTGACAAAAGCAGAGGCTCGACTTTTCGCTACTTGGGCAAGCGTAGTGGCCATCAACCTCATGAGACATGGCTGTACCTTCCCTCCTTGTCACCTCCAGAGTAACAAGGAACTTAGGTCCTGTTTTGAGTTGCAGTCACCACTTAAAGACAAACCTCATGGTCTATTTTGTTGTTCTGTTTTAGTAGCCAGAGGGCACATGTGCTGACCAGAGAGCGAGTAAGCGAGCACAGCCACAAAGGGAGAGCGTGGTCACGTCCCAATCCCTTCTCCCTTTCTCCATCCTATCTAGATTCCGAGTACACATGTGTATACGCCTGGTGTGTGGTTCATGCTGCTGGAGCCAAGACTCAAAGTGCAGTTGGCTATGTGGGATCTCGCTCCTTTAACCACTATGCTAAGGGGCCAACCCTCTTGTTTTGTTCTTAATTTCAGTTTGGCCTCCATTCCTTACCACATGGCCCCCTCACATGGCTCATTGCCTTTCTTTTATTTATTTTTTTTTAATTTGTGCTATAGGGTACAGGGGCTCACTGAAGAGAAAGAGGAAAAGAAAGAAATCACCACCCTGTCCCAGAGGGGATGGCACACTGCAGTCTCTTCTCCAGTGTCTTCTTGGAATCTTGGGCACACATGCACACGGGCCTGGTGTGCTTTTCAGGTTTCCAGATCCAGGAGTTGAACTCACGTTTTGAGTGATGTGGGATACAGTGCCATAACCCCTACATTACCTGCTGGCTCCCAGCTTGGCTACTTGTTTCTACTCTATTATTTTTTTTTGAAATAATTATTTATTTTCCCCCATCCCTTTCATCATCACCTTGCTTTTAAAAATAGCACTTTGGGGACTAGCAGGAGTGCAGTAGTTAAGGCGCTAGACTCCCATATGTCCGACTACAGTTCAAGTCCTGGACCTGATAGCTTATTCTCTTACTTTCTCTCTCTCTCTCGCTCTCTCTGTTGCTCTGCATCTCTCTCTGGTTAAATTAAAAGGTAGGGACCAGCAGATAGTGTAATGGCTACATCACGGGACTCCCATGTAGTCAACCATGGTTCAAGTCCCAGACCTGGTGGCTTAAACTCACACTGGGCACATGTGTGTGTGGGCCCAAGATCTCAAGAGGAGAATGGAGGAGAAGGTATTGCAGTGTGGCCATCTCCCCAGGGGGTGATTTGTCGCTTTCTGTCTCTCAGTCTCTCTCTGTTTTTCTGGCGCGCGCACGCGCCCTATAGTAGAAACCTCTCCAAGATAAAAAAATAAATAAAAATAAAAAGAAATTGCGTTAAATTAATTTTTAAGGAAAAAACAGTACTTTGTGCTGAGAAATGCGGAGGTAGATCTCCGAACCTCAGACTGCCCTCACAATGGTTTGGTCTGCCTTGTTCAGCTACAAACGCATTAGACTTTTGTCACCACTTGCTGGCTCGAAAGTCAACCAGAAAACTAGGGACTTCAAGTGTCCTGTCACTGTCCTAAACAAACATCAGCCATGCCACTGTCAACAGACTGTAGGAGTCGATGTGCCCTGCTCAACACTCCACCTGCCAAAACTACAGCCACCGCTTCCACTCAATGCCGTATATTAAATGATGCACCAGCAACATATGATTTAATTCTCCTAACAATAGCAGGTGGTAGTGCCATCTCCATTTTCAGAAGAAAACTAAAGCTTAGAGAGGATAAAGAGTCATAGAGCTAGGAGAGACAAAGAGCTGGGATTTGAATCCAAGTCCAAGAAACACTAAAGTCCTTGGTTCAAAGTCACGTGTTGTGCAAGCAGGAAAACCCAGCCTCAGTATCTTACCCCACCCCTAGGGATAAGGCTGGTCACCTGCTTTCCGAGATAACCCCGGGCGCCACTGACTGCACCCTCCCCACGTGACAGGCACAAGTAGGTTCATCCCCTCTTACAGCAAGCCCCTCGGGTGGAGCACCTCCATTTTACAGAAGGGGGCACTGAGGCTTACTGCGGTGAAGCCACCAGCCAAAGTGCAGTCAGAAAGTGGCCCCCGTGCTTCTTCAATAACCACTATGCTCAATTCACCCCTGCAAACGAGTCCTTAAGCAAAAGGCAGCGACGTAAAGTGGAAACAGGGCAAGGGTCGAAGCTTGTGACCCTGCAAGCGGTTTGCAGGTGGGACCCTGCCTACTTGCCTGGAAACTTAGCCGGTGCCCGAGTACCTCTAACCCCAGGTCCCCCTCCTCCAGTCAGGGGCCCACAAAGCTCGTCCGTGTGGTGGAAAGCGGCCGGGAACTCCGGTCGATCCAATCTGCAAGGTCTGAGCCGGGGACACCCATCCTGGCCCAGACCCCACCTACCTGGCCGCGGCGGCCGGTCCTCCCGGTTACCCTGCGCTATAGGGTTAGGCTCGCTAGGCCGGGGTCTACACTGACCGCGGGCACGGACGACTGCAGCCAGCGCTGTCACTACAGCTGCAGCGGCCAGGCACGGTTCCTCTGGAGAACATGCGGGAGAAGCCGGCGCGGTCCGGTGACGTCACAGAGCAGCGTCCAATGGAAGGGCGCCCAGGTCTGTCCTGGAAATCAAATCCGGGAGGCGATCAGGAGCTGCGGGTGGGTCGCATCTAATTAGTTCTTTGTGGCCCACGCGACTTACGGAGCACACGTCCAGGAGGTACTCACGCTCAGGCCGACGCCTGGGCTTGCAGGAGCCTGAAAGTGAGCGCTTCCTGGAGTTCGGCTCCCTGGCTGCGGGGCTAGCTTCACCCCAGCTTCTGAGCCAAGTGGAGAGGGCTGGCTCCCTGGGGCGGCCTAATACGCACGTCTAATGCAGGCCCAGGTCCTTTCCTGCAGGTGTGGGACAGCAGAAAGGCCTAATCTATTCTGTGAACGCCTATCCCCAACTTCAGAAAGGGTCTTTGTTCCTATGAGCCCAGAAGGTCAATGATAGGAATCAGGACATTCTGAGTTAAGGCATTCTGGCCTGAGTCCAGGGTGGGGCTCCCAAAGTCCAGTCCTGGCTGGGCAGGGCCAAACCTCAGAGTTTCTGTTTATCTTGGTGTCAGGTCAGTCACAGTCAGTCTTTTTGTTTTATCTATTATTTATTATTATAATCTTGTTTATATTACATTGAATCACATATATCTTTACAGTGTACTACATTTCTTTTTCCAGAGGGAATGCCTTACATAACAGTCAAGACAAAGATATTTCTATCCACATCATCGTCAAATAGCTTTTCATCTTTTTTTCCAGATTATTATTCTCATTATTTTTTTTAAAACATTCAATCACTATATATTATTTTGCTTGTAAAAATAATTTACCCAACATGATATACTTCTCAGACCAGTCCAGCTGAGGATACTACACATGTCATCATCAACAGGTAATAAACCATTTCTGTGTCCCACTAATGTCATGCCTCTCTATTTGTTCTCTCGCTATCCTTCTCTGTACTCTTCTCTTCTCCTGCGCCATTCCACACTGTCTTCAGCATCCCTAACTATTTTCACTGCTTTTATGCCCTCCAGCGTTTTGATCTCTACCATAAAGTGCAGATAGTTGGTATATATTAAGTGGATGAATGCAATGTCTTTCTTTTATATCCTAGCTTGCTTCACTCAGCAATAGATCCTCCATATCCGACCACTTTCTATCAAATGCCAGGGTCTTACTGTTTTTCATGGCTGAGTAGCAGTCCATAGAGTACATGTGCCACATTTTTTCTTTTTCTTTTTTTTCTGATGACATGTCCACATTTTATTTACATTTTAAGACTAACTTTCATCTCAAATCACATATCCATGCACCTATTTCCTTTCTGTTGACTTCAACTTAAATGCATGGTTTGTTAAACAAAACTGTAAACAAAAATTTACCATGGCTGTTACACGTAACACTCAGGAACAGCTTTTAATAGAAATTCATCCATACATCCCCCAACATTTTTTTATTATAAATACAGATATCAAAACAATCCTGAACATATTTTTTATACTACTAGTAGTCAGCACCCACGCTGCTTCAAAAATTAACACAATTTGTGACAATATTCATTGTACCTGCTACCTTAAACAGTTTCAACTGCAGCTCGTTCACTAAGTGAGATGGATAAAGCATGCCATGTCTGTTTTTCCTTCTTGAGATTTTTCACTTTTCAGAAACACACCTGCTGACACCACTGCCATCTGACACTTCTTGCCATGCTTTCATCTTGAAAACTCGAATTCTATTTCGAGTACTCCAGGCTCACGTTGAAATGACAGCGCCTTAACAAGAGAAAAAAAAAAAATGTGCTGCATTTTCCCTCTTGTTGCCTGAAAACATAATGGGTGTACATATATTAAATATATTCTCACAAATGGCCAGTCATGCTTACCAGCTGGAATTCTCTTACTTAATGTGTGGGTATTTGCGTTGTGATATTTAATCAAGACATTTATAGAGTAGAAGGTTGTTGATTTAAGACAAATGTGAGAGCCTCTAAAATTAATTGTTGTATATTTGTCCTTCTGGTGGCTATGGAAGCTTTATATTTTCTTTGGACATCATTAGACAACGAGGCTCTTGAAGGATGACTTTAATGCTGTAAGAGTTTTGCCATTTTGCTAACACTGGTATGCTCCATGCATCCACCATCCCACTAGAATTATTTATTCCATTCATATTAATTTTTATTACAAGTCTAACTGATGGAGGAGCTTCTGGGTATTTAGGTCCACATTCTACTTTCAGGCTATATATTCTGTTTTCATAATTTGTCTGTGGAGACCACCCTCTTCTCCTGCCTGTACCACACTTTTTCAGTTCTTTCATCTGTGGACATTTGGGTTAGTTCCATGTCTTAGAAAAGGTTCCATGCCGGGGTGAGAAAAATGTACATTTTGTCATTTTCTCAATCTCCTTGATACTTTTTTCTTTTCTTTTCTTTCTTTTCCCTTTTTTTTTTTTTTTTTTTTGGAGG